GAAAGAAGGGTTTTGCAATGTAACAGTGCTGGCGGCGCCAGCCTTTATTTTAATATATATAGGGCGGCAGAAATAACAAGGGAAAAGACCCTTGTGCCCCTGAGTACAATAACAGACATAACAGAAAGAGAAAACGAAATAAAAAAACACTTTAATTAGCCAAACAGGCCCTAACATCAGCAACTAAATTAATTTAACATTATTTTAACAGTATGCTCATTAAAATCGCCTAAAATAATAGTAGGATTTGAAAACTTATTCAACCAGGCATGAACACTACTCCAAAAAACATTTCTACCACTATGAGTGGGTTCATCATAGGCAAAGACAATAAGAACACATAACTCAATAATATTCTTATTAGAATAAAAAAACATTAACTTGAAAACCACTTCCATTAAACAACTAAACCACTAGCAAGACCAACAAGGGGAACAACAAAATAATGGGGGAAATGTAACATTCTTGCCAGGTGAGTAGCCTTAGATTCTGGAATTTTCATTTCACAAAGAAAAACAAAACCTGGTTGCTGCTGTGAAATGAAATTCCTCAGACCCCTTACTGCCAAGGGTTGGCCACACCCTTGGCAGTTCCAACTGACTTGTGGCTGTTTAGGGCCAGCTACCACTGCCCACTTTAACAAAAACCAAAGAAAACTCACCTGGTGCTCTGCCAAATAAACCTTATCCCCCTCAAACATCTGCACATTGTCAGTTCCCCTGAGAGTAGTTAAAACAAAGTTAAACAAAGCAATCAAAAAATAACAAGCAAAAGAAAAAGAACAGTATGGAAAACTAAGTAAATAACAATACTGAAAAAACAGACAAAAGAGACGTAGACCACCATAATCCAAACCACTATTGCATAACAAAACAAAAAAATACCAAACCCATGACTCCCTTCAGCCTCCCTCGAACCTGAACCTAGCTCTGTAATGTGTATTCCAGAGTCCACCCTTGGACGCTTACCTGGTCCCGAAAAATCCAACTGACCCACATAATGATTAGTAGGAGCTAGTTTCAGTAAGGCGGAGTTGACTCTAGACTCCAGACTTATAAGCCATACAACCATCCTAATAGATTCTCTCTCTTCAGATGATCCAACTCGTCATCCAGATTTTACACTGCCCTCATGACTCATGAGCAGTCCCCTCCCCTTGCCATCTCAAGAAACCTCTATTCTCCCTTTCTCAGGAAGGAACTAGATTGAGCCCACTCCCACTTTAACCTCTCAGTGACATAGACTCAGGTGCTGAACAGGAAGATTCTGGCTCCTCCCTCCTCATGGAGTCTCCCAGAAACTGACCAAATGCAGGATGATCCCTCTTCGGTCGCAAGGGAGTCTCAGCCTTCAGCCATGGACCAAAATAGTTCATAGTACACTGAGCATAGAATAACTCCAAATCTTCAACCTTGGGCAAAACTGCAAAACCACACTTCTTATATACATGCTCAACATGCCCACAGGCAAACTCCTGGAAGTCGTTCAGATCGAAAGATAACCCATGCAATAGGAGAAACAAAACACACTTGATAGGTTGACTAATATCAATCCAGACCTTAACATGGATATAATGACCTTTTATTTTGAATACCACACACAGTACCAAGCTTTTCACCTGCTAAAAGCCCAATTTCATTATCAAGCATATTAAAAGGCAAGTCATGGACTTGAACCCAACCTCAGCTTCATTCAAAAAATAGAAGGGACCTTCCCTCATGCTATTCTTTCAAAAGAACCCACTGATCGAAGACCACCCAAGGACCATCCACGGTAACCTTGTCAAAATAATAGTTATCATGAAAAAGGGCTTTAAAATGACCACGTTGTAAAGCTTCCAGTCTTACCTCGGCAGCTGGAATTTTCCATATAGCATGGAGAGCCCTCAACAGTTCCTCAAATGGAATGACCAATCTAGGGAAAATTCTACCAATAACACAAAAATGCCATCCTTCAAGCTGGGCAAGTCCAGGCCTATCTCTAACGTCAATAACCTACACTCCAAGATTCTTCCTTCGTTAACCGCTCTGAGAAAGGCTTCATGCAAATTCTGAAAATTCTCCATGTTGGCACCACAACAAAACAAAGAAGCACAGGAGAACAAAGAAAAGGATTACGGAAGACAAACAAGAAGTGAATTATCAAAAAAAAAAAAATAGACAAACAGAACAAATACCCATAACAATAAATACTAGACATACCAAATCTAGCAAAGAACCAACAGACTAACAGCAGTCCCCAAAAGAAGCACAAAGAAACAACCAACAGATAAAAGACTAGCTCACACACACAAGGAAAGCACCCACATGGGGAAAAGGACCCCTACACTACAGGGAATTAAGCCCCTACCTAGAGGAGAGACAGGCAGCCGCCTGACAAAAACAAAATGTAAAACACTCTAACTAATACACAAAACCATAAATAAAAGAAAACAACCAGAAATCAAACACAGTAAAGAAGATCAATTCATTAAGTATATGTTCATTAATGAAAGAAACAGTAAATCAGCATTTTTACATTGTTCATTTCATTAAACATGATTATCCCTCTCTACTTAGTTTATCATTTACATAAATTTGACATATGACTTACAACCAGTATATCCTTTTGGTACTTTTTGTCATCAAATTGGATTGTGTTTTCCCGTGCGAGGGTCCCTGTTAGTTAAGTAGAAGCAGGAGGAACCCTATGACATTTGTAATCATATGAAAATCTATGATGTCGATATGATACCGGTTTATTGGTTACAAGGTTTTCTGGTATTATAGTTGAACTCTTTAGATATTTATTTTTCAACCAGCAAAAAAAAAAACAAAAAAGAAAAATCTCAAACTAGTAGACACTATTCATCCTGCCCTGTAGCTTCACTCACTTCCTGTGGTTTCCCGCGTTTTTCTCTCACATGTCCCTCGATCCATTGTGTTTTCTTCACATCTGGTGGACAGAACAGCTTTTGATAAGATTCTTATCTAATATCATTGTTTCTTCACTCAGTCCGCATTTGTGGATATGTGCAATGAAAAAAAATAAGAACCCAAGTCATTCTGTAGCAAACATTATTTATTTTTGAAATTAATCTTCTACCAGGATGCTTTGTTTGAGATATTCTCCGGCAATTATCTTGGGAAAACTAGTAACGGTAAACATTTCCAGAAAACCGAGTAGTGTTGTGGTAAGCTCCCTCTGTGAATTTCTATCTAAATTATCTCTTCGAGTGTTGTTATTTTGCCTCATGGACTTTAGCCACTCAGAAGATTTTCAGTTTCCATTTAAATTCTGATTGTTGTTTGTTTATGATGATGATGATGATGTTCTTCAGGTATGCGCAGCAAAAGGCCCGAGACCGAGGTATCCCAGAGTATGGAAATCCAGAAAGAGAATAGGCACCATATCCAAGTCTCAGAACCTCGTTGAGTGTGTAAGCTCCTTTTTTCTGGTTTTTTCTCCTTAATTTGAAACTATATTATATTGTGATCTTTCCAGGTTCTGTAAGGGGATGAATTTGAATTTCAGAGTTCTGGTATTTCTTTTTTGTTGCTACGAACGTTTCACCTATTTAGTGCAAAGAATAGGAAGTTATACATTAGAAATTTTGCAGTTGTCTTTTGTGAATCTGTGATATGGATGTGTTCATGCAGATAAAGGGGTTGTCAAATGTCAAAGAGGAAGTTTATGGTGCTCTTGATTCTTTTGTTGCTTGGGAGTTAGAGTTCCCTTTAATTACAGTGAAGAAAGCATTGAAGACCCTTGAGAATGAAAACGAGTGGAAAAGGATAATTCAGGTGCTGTCCATTATCCATCATTTGGTATCTTTACAGTATCTAAAGCTTTTTGCATCTTCCTCAGCAGCATGAGGTAGATGACTAGGTTGAGTTTCCTATCTTGAAAAGATTGAGATTTTTTATCAGTAACAGAATCAATTTCATTAAAAAAGGAAATTGAGTACAATAAGAAAGAGGTGGGAGAAATACTCTTAGCCCTCCCCAACAGAAAAATTACAATACAACCCAAAATAAATTATTGAAAAGAAAAGATTGAGATTAGCGGCACTGATTCCTTCACGTCACCCAGGTTGAGTCTCCTATCTTGAAAACTCTTTGAGATGATGAGATCAGTGGTTTTTTCTATTGCCAATCTTTCTTCCTCCCTACAAGCCAGTGCTAAGATTTAGCACAGTTGAGATGGACGCTTAGAAATTAGTATCCATGAGAAGATATTCATCTTGATGAACAAAACAACTATTATCTGAAAACCATAAAACATCTATTCTAAAACCGATATATTGATCTTCCTCTTTGCATTGAATGCAATCGAAACCTTTGCATTGACACTGATACCAGTATGACCACCCATTGTTGAACCATCTGGGTTTAAAATCCACCATTGGCACCAGCCGTACCACTGTCCAGTAACAGGAGGAACCTAGATGGGATGTCCTAATTGTCAAAGCAAACTCTATTATGATTATTATTAACATACTCCCCTTTAATGGAAGACCCCTTTCTGCAAGTATTAAAAAGCGAGATTCAAAATTTTCTCAATTAACCTTGATTTCTGCTGAAATTTCTTTTGAATTGTCTCGTCTCATGGTGTATATGTCATTGCACTGAATGCAATCTTTTATTTGTTGATTTGGTAATGTCTTATTGCTGGCTTTGGGGGCTGCCAACAGTACCTCTGCGTCCCATATATGATTATCCATATTGAACAAAACTAAGGGCCCATTTGGTTCACGGGAATAGGGGTCTGGAACCGGAATCGGAATGGCCCATTCCGATTCCAACTGTTTGGTTGGGCGGAATCAGAATCCCATTCCCATTCCTGGTGGAGTAGCATTCCCCTATTTGAGGGAATGGCCATTCCCTCCCTCTCCCTTGGAATGAAATCCCCATTCCATCTTATTCCAATTCCGATTCCGATTCCGCTTCCTGTCTGAACCAAACAGACTATGGGAATAGATCATTCTGATTCCGGTTCCAAGAGATTTTGATCCTGATTCCAACTGTGAACCAAACGGACCCTAAGACTCTCCACCAAACATCTTGAAAAAGAGTATCTCAAGAAAAGATGGTCAGCATTGACATTGCACTGCCACCGCAGTATATGCTTGAATTTTTACCTTATTACCCAAGGGATGAATGAATGGCATAGAATTCTGCCTGAAAAATATAACTATTTTATGCTATGAAACTTTGGGACCTTTACTTGTTACTTTGTCACAAGCAGATTTTGCACTAAATTGGCCACTAACAGTTGATGTCCAAACAACCCCATTATGAGAATTAGATATCTTGATCTAATTGCTTTTCCAAATATAAATAGTGTGAAGCAAAGTAGCTGATAGTAAACACCATGGACTTTCATTAATAAAATCAGCTACTATAGCATATTTAGCCATAATACTATCTAATTATATCACTATAATTACTTAATGTGGAGAATGCCAAAGGGTCATATATAGAATAGCGATTTACCATCATCAATAAAGTGCTTTATCAAATTCAGTTTATCATTTCACACCTTTATCTCATAATCACATTATTCCAAACCAAAATAGATAACTCTTAGTTGATTAGTGAAAACGTTACCTTGTTTCAGGTACTTGCTATTCATCCTTTTAACCCAAAGCATATTTTTCTAAGCAGTCATGTTCCAAACGAATAATGTCATCCTTGCCACATTCCAATCCCTGAGAGATTGAATTCCCAAAACCTCACTTCACCAAAGGGGCAAGAAACCTCATTGCGACAGACTCCATGAGTTTTTCTGTTCAGATAAGGATCTGCCAAAAAATTATGATTTTTTTTTTTAAATCCTATTAGATAATGGATCTTACAATCTAGTAAGTACCTGGACAGGTACATGGTAACAACAGAGAGCTGTGATTTGTATCTTCTTAGTATTACTTCTCTTTTGTATGTATTCAATTACATTGTACATTTGATTATAGGTGACCAAGTGGATGTTAAACAAAGGTCAAGGAAGGACAATGGGAAGCTATTATACACTGTTAAATGCTTTAGCACAGGATGGAAGACTTGAGGAAGCTGAGGAACTTTGGATGAAAGTATTCTCCGAAAATCTGGAAAGTTTGCCTCGTATTTTCTTTAACAAAATGATCTCAATTTACTATAGCAGGGGCATGCATGAGAAGATGTTTGAGGTATTACTCTATCATCTTAGTGTCAATTTTGTCAAGTGGTATAACTTGTTCTCTAATTTTTTTTCCTTTCTATACATGATGCACTGACAAATATAGCTTGCCTTTGCATTGTTGCCATGCCTGACTGCTTGTGTATCAATTTTTAAGGCTCAAACTCATAATCCCCCAACGGCTGATGCACAACAATGGTTCTGATGGACTACAGAGAATATGTGACATTCATAATTGATGAAAAATTAGGATAAGTTACTATTCATAACCTAAACCTATCATTAAGTTGAATCATGATTTATTAAAAGGAAGTTATGCTCAGTCTGGTGGCTAGTATGTTAATACATCATGGCCTAAAAATGGTCAATTCCCTTTTGTGGTGGCAAAACTTTCTTGTAGTCTTGCCAAACCTAGACTAGTTTTTACTTGCGAGTAGAAAAGCTTCACTTATAAAACCCAGTTTGGTAAAAGCCTTTAGGGGAATTTTCAGATTTCCCTGCCTTACAAATTTTTATCTGTTTGTACAGTTTGGGAAGAGTGACAGGTGGGAGAATTTGACATAATATGAGGGAGATGGTACTATATCTTTTTTTTGAAGAATCAGAAAAAAAATTATTAAAGAAAAAAGATTCATACAATCCGGGGGTGTCAATATAACACCCAGCCACATCCTCAACTTAACTAACCAACACTACAAGAGACAAATTAAGAACAGTGAACTGAACAAGAATGCAAGTCTGAAACTCAGGAAAATTCCAAAAGCTCTTCTCCCAACTCCGCTCCGCTAATCTGATGAAATTCTGGATGCACCCTTGACAAACCACTGCACTCAACTCCAGCCACTCCCCACTGCTCTATCCCCAAATCTCCTCCTTCAATCCCAAATTAAATGATTCCAGCTTCTACTCCTGAAGCATTCCAACTGGGAGATTACGACTCCTAATTAAGATATCACCATCACCCTTCTCTCCATCTCTCTCAAGCTCCTTACCTTCCAGATAATCACTCATCCTTTTCCTACCTATTATAACGAAAAAAGAAACTTCCTTCAGTCCTCCCCCACTTCCTCCTCTCCCCCTTCTTCGTCCCACTCCTTATCCTTCCCAAATTTTTCTTTTTTCTTTTCGATTTTTCTCCTCCCTCTTGAATTTGTCAAAGTGCTCAAAAGCCTTTCTTGCAAATTCTTCCCCTCCCCAGAAAAACAAACCCAAGGATTTTCCGACAGAAATCTCCCTCTCTACCAAGCTGTCGATTTCCACCTCTCCATTTCGAATCAGATCCAAAGCCTGAGCTGCCACTCCTCTTTCCTCCCCCTCCTCCTGTCCTTCCCCTCTTTTCCCCTCCAAACACCCTTTTTGTCTCTCCTCAACTTCCCCTCCTTCCACACCCTGAACAGATTCTATAACTCTCTTATTCCTATTTTAAACGTTTTCCTTCCTCTTGCCCCCTTCTAACTCACCAAAATACCTTTTCTTCCTCTTTTTCGTCCCCCGGATAACTCTACTTTGACCCCACACCCCTCTCCCACCTTCGATTGGGGTTCATTCCCCTTCTCCAAGCTTTGATCAGCATTCGAGATAGGGGTACTTACCTTTTGTTCAAACTGCTTATCGCTGAGATCTGGGGCACCATCTATATCATCCTCATTGACCTCTGCTATGCAAATATTGGTTGCAGTGTCCCGATTTTCTTCCCCCAGCGGATAGACTATCGGAGCCGAGGAATCTTTGGTCACCTGCTAGGAACAGTTGAGCTTCGCTGACTCCAGCCGATTTTTGCACCCCTAGCCTCTCTTTCTCCCCAACCTTCAACGTCTACATGCTAGACTCTTGCCGATCTCCCTCCCTTCTTCGTGACAAAGCTCCTCGAGGAGCACTTGAGGTTCTTACAATGTCCTTGCTACCTCTTATTCACTGAAGCTTCAAAGTCTTTTTGCCTTTTGTGTATTTAGCAATCACCCATACCCATTCTTCTCTTAGATCCCTACTTGAGAGTTTTTTCAAACGACCCCTCCCAAGTTGCCTTTTACCAATAACACCCCTTCCTTTCTTTACCCTCCATCCTCCCCTACTTCCATGTGTGATTCAAGCTCCTCCTTTCTTTTGCCCTCCTTCCTCGCCCCATGTCCCTTACTGAGAAAATCAGATCCTAACTCTTCCTTTGAAATTCCAGAATTGCCCCCTCAACATCTGCCTCACTCTTGTCTTCCTCCTTCGATTGACTCTTCGTCTCCCTCTCGTGAACACTGCATTCCTGAAATCTGTCGTGGACTCCCTCTTCCTCCACTTCATTCCCCTCCTTTTTGTCCCTCCGAATTGAGCCAAAGAAGGTTTCATCCTCTCCCTCTACTATCAACCTCAGATTATATTTTTCCCCAGCAAAAATTAGCTCTAACTCGTTTGGAATCTCTAAGAAACCCCAAGCCTCAACCAACAACCTAGCTGAATCTAATTTATTCTAGGTCCTATTCCTACTGTCAAATTTCAGGAATCCACCGTTTACCTGATTCCTCTCAACACCTTCTTTGCTCACTCTTTTCTATAGAACATAAAGAGATAGGGGCCATCGTTTAACCTTCTAATTCCCATTACCTTTTTCCCTCCTCACTCCAACTTCACCCAGGCTTTAACCTTCTCATCATCCTACTCTACCCCAACAAACCTACCCACTAGACTCGCATTCAACACTGATAACCTCTCTTTCATCTTCCACTTGAACCAAATGAAACTCCATCTTCTCTAATCTTACCTCAACGTGAAGCAGCGGCCGTCAGTCATCGGTCTCCAGTGGCAGTCTCCAGCTTCACCGCTGTTGGCAGTTTCCAGTTCAATTTTGATGGGTGTTGCTTACAAGTGGAAGGGGATAGAAGAGATAGGGGTAGACCAAAAAGGACATGGGTAGAAGCAGTAAGAAATGATGGATTCACCCCTAATATTCCTTAAACCTTTGTTTTTAATTTTCAGTTAAAAGAAAGAAAGCTATTGTCTCTTCTAAAGAAATCTCTTGAGAATGCTCCGCCTGTTAGAGATTTTGTTGGTGCATTGAGGGCATCTCATATGCGAACTGGTTTACCAGTTCTAATAGCTGAAGACTGAAGTGAAGAAAATAAAATTAGAAATATGTGAAGTGGAGTATAGTGAAGATTTCTCTAAAAGGTATGACCTTATGTTCCATCAGTTGGTGTGCTGATGCATTCCATCTACATGCATATCATTCATATGCATGAAAGTATCCCTAAGGAAAAAGCTGTAGGACCGTTGAAATTAGGGCTGTTCATAAGAAGACCCAAACCGACCAAACCAACCAACCCGGTCCGACCCAACTCGAGTCGGCCGGGTTTTCTTTAGCGTCGTTCGGTTTCGGGTTACTAAAAAGCATAAACCGATGGGTCGGTTCGGTTTTGGTTTCCACACATGAAAACCGAAACCGACCCGACCCGAACCAACTTAGTTCCTAGTTAGTACTTAGTAGTTAGTACCTAACTTAGTTTCTACTTTCTAGTTACTTATAGTTACTTATAGTTTCTACTTTCTAGTCTTCTCTTTAGGAATGCCATTAATGGCAAGCATTGCAAGAAAAGGAATGTCATTAATTCCATTAATAGCTTCTTGCATTTTTTTGGAAGGTTTAAAGAAAGGATCCTATTCTCTAAGGTCCTTTACACCAAATAGGTAATTACAATTAGGTGTCTTTTTTACTTAGATTAGAAGCCTTCTTAAAAATTCCAAATTTTAGTCTTCTTTTTCTAACACAATTTGACTCTCTTTTCTTGGTAACTTCTAACTTGGTCTGCCTTTACTCCCTTAGCCCCTCAACTCAAGCACTCAAACCGACCCAAACCAACTCAAACCGACCAGGTCGGTTTTGCCTAACACAGGGTCGGTTTCGGTTTCATTTTCAAGCAACCCGACCAGGTCGGGTAGGTTGGAAAAACAGCAATAAAACGACCCAACCCGACCCGTGAACAGCCCTAGTTGAAATATTTTACTGATTTGATGTCGATGTCTCCAATGAGACCTCAAAAGCATATGAAAATTTTATCCTCTGGAAGTTAATAACTCGATCAACACAACTTCATATTATCCTTTCAATGATTCTTATGTGAAATCCAACAGTCCTGAGGGAGCAGTTTTGCTACTTCACTTATTCCTTCTTTTTTATTCCTTTTTCCTTTCCTATTTTTATATCTAGATCTTATATGTCAGATGTTGTCATGAGACAACACCATGAAATAAATTTATTACTTGGCTATGTTCTTTTATACTATACTTGCCCTACCTCTTATTCTTCTCTCTTTGGTGGAAATGCCAGTCATTCAAATATAGGAAACATGTCGGAAATGTCAGAAGTATCGTTAAGGAAATATTGTAAAAATTATAAACATGATGGAAATATTGTAAAATATGCAACAATATAGAATGATATATTATGAAATGATAAAAGAAGCATAGACAAACCTTTTTAAATTATTATCTTGTTCCAAATCATTAAAAAAGGCTAAGAAACAAAGGTTATAAACAAAAGAATGCGTTCTAAAGTTGTCTTGTAAACCTTAAGATTTAAGACTTAATGATAGAATGAGTTAAATGAAAATTTAAACTCATAGAAAATGTAAATTGTTGTAAAAAATCAACCAAATAATCTATTAGACAGAAAAAATTAATATTCAACTTCATGTTTGAAATGATTATTGAGGTAGCTCAAAGTGGTAATCATGCAAGTCAGGTGGGCAATGACACTGTTATTCCACATATCTATAATATTGTCACCAAATTATGTTATAATACCATCTCTTGTACTTTGTATAATGCTGGTAGTGTTTACTAGGGAATATGTCAATTCTTGTAAAATTTCATATTTCTATCTATGGAAGTGGAAATGGAAATATGTTGTGGGAACCATAGTTGTCAAGGTGACTAGGCGCTTTTCAAGGAGCATGTTGCAATCGTGCTGTGCAGGTGGTGACGTCGGTATTGCAGTGTTCGGTTGGGACTAGGTGGACTAATGCA